CTAAAAATCTCAACTGACAATTCAAAAAACAAGAGCAAAAACTTAAACCATTAAAAAACAAAAAAACTGCAACAAATCAAAGTGAATAAACAACGAATTTCTTTGTGTCCCACCTTCACTTAGGACGCTAGACTCTAAGATCCATTTAACGACTTTTTTAAATCTATGTCTTGAGGGTCGTGACATTATTACCTAGTCTCAATTTTTAAATTGGTCGGATTTGAACCCATGACCTATGGGACTGAAGCAGAGCAAATTTTAAGGCATTTCCACTGGGCGACAGCGGCGCTGGACTTACCGGGTGGTCGGAGGGATATACAATTCCCCCCAGCAAAAAAGGGGGTCGGGGAAAATTTGTGCATGAATTAAAGTGAAAATCACCTGTTTCTACGTATCTTTTAATGAATTTTCCAATTATATTTGCTTATAAATAGTCCATATAATCTCTTTTAATTACTTATTGTAGAACAATCTAACAGGCCAGGGCTCCCTTCACAACCTCTTGGGCAAAAATCATAGCTCAATTTCAAAAGTGTACTACAGTACTACAAACATTAATATGTGAACACAAACATGTTTAAAATATCTACGTAAAACCATTGACTATTGGATACAGAAGTTGTTGTATTAATAGTCAAAGGTAAAACCTAAAACTACAATATAAAAAATTCCATTTTTTATTTTTAGAAGGTAAAAACCATAACCACGGGGGGGGGAGGAGTGATTTAAGTAGTGACGTGAAAATCATTACAGACAGCAGCTATCTTATCTGCGTCCCTCGCACACATGCACACGCACTTCCTACTGCCAATCAGAAATCGCATTTTCATTGTTAATCACTTGTTTACTTTGGAAGATGAACATACTCTAAAATATTTACAAAATGTTATTTTTTTAATACTTTTTATATTCCGATACATTTTAAATGTGAATCCTTAAAAAGAAGTATGCTGGCTTCACCCATAGCCACTGTTAACATTTGCCAGTTAACGTGTTATTTTATGCCCTGGACCACAGAAAACATACTACTATAACCCAGAATGCTGACAGCATGGAGCTTTTCTTGTCAATTGGTAGGCAGCGCCACCAGCATAGCAATTGACGCGCAAAGTACGAATTGACAGGCAAAGCTCCACGCGGTCAGCATTCTGGGTCATAGTAGTATGTTTTCTGTACCTTGACTGAAGCCCCAAACACCACTGCCCGGCTCACTCCCCTTTTCCCTTTTAATTACCTTGTACAATAAACATCCATGATTTATCTCCGTATCTGGATCATCTTCCGAACTGTTCTCCATCAGAACTTTCGCACTCACTAAGTCTTCTTCTCCATATTTAATGGCTGCCTTTAGCTTCATTACCTATGAAATGAACAAAAAACACATTGGAAAGGACTGTGATATTTTTCTGCTTTGAGCATCATAAGATTTTTAGTTGGGGAAGATTGAATTTTTTTTAATCCTTACTGTAGGCTAGCCAACTTGTAAAAATTATTGTGTTTTTCACAATCCCTATGTCCAAAATTAAAAATTAATGCGACATACTTTGGATGGCTTTTGTTTTGAAAACGGTTACGTTCCCTTATTTTAACTGTACAAGTGCAAAAGTGTTTCAAAGTAACTTTTATCACTCTGTGTAAGAAGAAAAATTTGTTTAGGAACAATAAATGATGTCAAAATAAGTAATTGTTATCGATTCTCTAATTTACAGTTGAAGAAATATTATTTTTCCTTTCACTCATTTAGTTTTTCATTACTGGTTTCCTTAAAATGTTCTTAAAAGTTTTTTTTACTTAATTTTTGCAACCTGATTATAAAACATCATACAAAACAAGAACCTAACCTACTAAAGAAGGAGCTTCTAGTTTCAAAATATTTTTTTATACACTAAAATCCCATTTATAACTACTGTAATAAAGAGCGAGGCAGTTTCAGATAACTTATTTTTCAGTCAGTCAATTATTGTTGGGATTTTGAGACTCACCCATAAAATTTGGGGAGGGAGTGCCAAAAAAGCTCCTCAAATAAACCCCTTCTTCAACTACTAGTCAACTTACCTTCCCATGATATGCAGGATCTTCTATTTGACTGACAACTTTCAGGGCGTCCTGATAGACACAGGCCTGATACAAGCATTGTGCATAGTACAATTGGTAGTCCTGTTCGTCAGGAAACAGTGTTACCAACTGTTCGTAGCAGTTGGCAGCATTCATGAAGTCTTGCGTGTGGAAGAAGCAGTAAGCAAGGAGCGAGAGACATGCTCTAGACTAACAGAGTTACACAAGACATTAAATCAGAATAACCCCACCGCAGCAAACCTGCTAAGTGAATTTATATTTTCTGGTAGGATTTTCAAAAAAAATTCTTTAAAATTGTCTGACTTATTCCCTATTAGGCCTAGGTTTTGTATTATTAAGTTTTAAAACGAGTTTATAGTATGAAATTTAGAGCCATATTTTATAGAAAAATTACAAAGCATATTTTAAGGGATTTCCACTGGGCGACAGTGGAGCCCGCATTAAAAATGGGGGAAAATCTTTGCATAAATTAAAGTGAAAATCGCACATTTCTACGTATCTTGTAATGAATTTTCCGATTAACTTATATTTGCTTGTAAATCGTCCATGTTATCCCACTTAATTACGTATTCTAGAAATATTTACACAATTCAATTTTTTAAATAGGTACCTTTTAAATTCCGTTAGCCTAAATTTAAAATTTGAATCATTTAAAAAAAATATGCCGGCACCACATTGTCACTGGGCGACAAAATCTCAGCACTAGGTGACACTTGTGTCGCCCAGTTAACAAGTTATTTTATGCCCTGAAAAATTATACCTACAAATAAGCAAACTACAAAAGTTATTTATTCGATTCTCCATAAGAATAACATGGGAATTTTAAATTTGATGATGATGAAGAACGTTTATGCATTGATGAGGATGATACTTCATGAAGAACAAGTCTCCTCTTATGTAGAAACTAAAGTCTAAATAAACAAGAGAAAAAACAATAATACATTTCCCTAATCTATGTAAATTAGCTATTTTAAAAGTTAAACCCTTGGAACAACGGCATTTTAACTCACGTTGGGGTTGTTAGCCAAAACATCATTTAATATCTGAAGTGCCTCGTTGTAGTGCTGATCCTTAATCTGAAACAAAGTCTAAGGTTCAATTTAATGATGACAATCATACAATCGAAGTAATAAAAGTGTAAAATGCATGTAAATAATCATTTTTGTACACAGATGGAAGGACTCTCAAAAGCTCAATGATAAAGTTGCGTTAACATATAGCTTACAGAAGTATTAGAGCCTACAGTGTTTCAGTTAAACTATACATCCTGTGAGCAATTAAAAAACCCTTCTCAAACAATCTTTCTATCGTTCTTGCAAGTAAAGGTTTTCTTTGTTATGTTTTATTTGTTTATATAAACACCCATTTCTCATTTTTAATTTGTATTGCAAGGGACCGTCAAAATCATGGTCTTACTACTATATATCTCGATCCATTTTTATATGGCATCATTAATTGAATTATGTAAAATCTATTTCCAAATATCTTACTAATTTCATGATGTAATGACAATTTTGCTCTTACCATAGAATAAATGGTTTTTGTGTAGTTTCCATCTTTAACCCTAAGGTTATTAAAATACATCATTTCAAAAACACACTTAAAACCACATGCTACTAATTAGTTTAGTTATGAGAGTTTTAAGATATCACAAGACTTAAAGAAACACTGAAAATCAAAGATATTAGAACAAGTAGTTCAATTTGATAAAGCACAACACTGTAAGGTAAACAAACCTGTTGCCATGGCAACATCCACTGCCTCCTATATCAACAAAACTATTGAGCGCAGGTGCAAGTCCATTAGCACAGGCAATGATTATAAAACTGTAAGGGAGTGGTAGCTTATAATCCCATACTTCATAACATGGAAATTATTTTATTTTTATAGTTTATCTAATCAAAAGTGTGTCATACAATGTTTTCATACTGTGCATGGATAATCAATCGTTTTGTCTTATGGCAAAAGTTATATGTCTTTGTCCGTATTTTATAAAGTAGATCTTATAGTATAGCTAATTATATGCTGTTTGTCAAATGCAATAGATATAAAGTCAATATTTATACTTTGTGATTTCTAATTTTTGTACTTGCGCAAGAGACCAGAGCATTAAGAACCTCAAATCATTATGATTTAAACAAATTAGTCAAATATGAAGATCTGATTTTCATAACATATTATTAAATTGAATCATTATCATCAAAAGACGTTTTAATCACATTATTGAATTTGTCAGTGTCTTGAATTTGGATTTTAACATAAAAATAAATTAACTAACCACTGCAAGTTGAACCATTTAATTATTTAAGCTTAATTAGTTATAGTTTACTTATATGGACCATTCAATGTGTATGTTCGTTTTGTCATGAGTGATTCATAGATTTTAAATGTGTGACTTTTCCTAAAGCAATTATCTGATAGCTGTAAGCACGTGTGAAATTACATCAGCTGTTAGATAAGTGGAATTCACTATCATAACTAATTCAATAAGCGACCTTGTATGATAACACCAAGGTTAAGGCCATCACGTGTTGAATTGTTGCTTATATGCCAATTGTATTTAAAGTGTAGCTCCCTTGATTATGTTCTACCATACTGAGGATAATGCAAATTATATCTTACATTTTGAGCAAAAATATCTTTATGTCTGATATCCTTAATTTGATTTATAAATTTCTGAATTGAACAATATTATAAAGAGATCTTTCTTTACTAAAGAATGTAAATGGATTTCATTGAATTGTTTTGTAATTTGTTATAGGTCATAGACTTTCAAAAATACAGTGATAAGAGTAATACGGAAGCTCAAAAAGATAATGGTTAAATGACCAAACAACAAATTACAACACGTGGAAATTTCCAAGGAAAGTTTTAAATTTAAGTAGAAGAGAGGAATGTTACAGTACCAAACACATGAAAACAGTTCCATAAATATTTTATTGTTAAAAATCATATCACAAGAGCACAAAAGCTAATTAACTATAACTACAACAAATACTTCAGATACGGTACAGTGTATGGATATAAAATAAAATATTGTTCATTAGATCTTTTACTCAATACTCATAAAGATAATGCACTCAGGGTTCGTTCAATATATGGCGGAGCCTATAAAGTTACTATATTTTTTAATTGATTGGGGAAATTCTATACTACTTTATAAGCATACCTGAGATTTGCAATGAACACTTAAATGGTAAAATCCACTAAGACAACTAGCACACAATATTTTGGTTAACATTTAAAGTACCTACATATTTCAAGTGAGGTTCGGATATATTTAAAACTAATTTTGTTCCTAAAAGCGGTGGGTTGTCAAAAACTCTTCATAACAAGCTGTAATTACGTAAACAGTTGCTTTGTTATTTTCAGTTTTCTAAATTCACTAAACATAATTTTCAATTACCTTGTTTACGAATTCAAGGCACAAAAAATCTCACTACTAGTAGATGGTTAGGAACACTATAAGGTGAAGAATTTAAAATAATTAATAAATAATATAAAATAGAAATTTGGTTAAAATCATGTTCAAACAAAGACTAAAGGACCCTTCAGAACCCATAACAATGGTTAAGTTATATTTTCACAATTTCAACATGAAACATTTTGCCAGCTGCTTACACATGGTTGGCAAAGGCTTCAAGTTTATTTTAAGAAAGAAGTCAAACAGTCTGGCTTATAAATCATTCGCCAGACATTTTTACTCTGTCAAGGACAGTACATTATATTATTAAGGTTTCTTTGAAAATATTTATTTTTTACCTTTAAGGTTCGTTACCAAGAAATGTATCTTGAATATTGATTTTTTATGTAAAAGCAGGATGGTTGTAATTCAATTAAGTACTGTTCATGAAATCAGAAAATTCTATTTTAAAATAACCTTAAATTACTTTGAAAGTCAATAATCTAGGAAACCATTGGAACTACTCACAGTAAACAATAACTGGTCGATTCAACAATAAACCTAAATACTATTTAATACCACAGACAGATAAAAACTAAAATACTATAACATGAGGAATGAAAGCACTATAAGTAGGCCTATAGTTGTAAAGGACTAGAATGTGTAGAGAGAGGTTGAAATTAAAAACAAAAATATATTGAACAAATTCTGGTAAAGTAAAAAGTTAGATAGATTTATAGCTGTCATTATTAAAAATGGAATATTATCGGTAGACCACGAAACGTTGTGATGTTGAGTATAATATTTAAGATTTTTATAAATTTCCAGTTTCTTTTATGAAAATGATCTTAGTAAATATTTCTGCACATTTTATTACAAAACATTATTGGCAAGAAAATGACCATATTTCATAACAAAATAAAAAACAATTTCTACTTTTTAACAAACATATAGATTTTATTCTCATCTATCTTAGCCTATATTTTTAACTTGTACAATGATTTTAATGACTTGGAGTCAAGTAAACTTAATCATATAACTAGGATAACAAAAATAAATTTGTTCAACATGTATAGTAATTTTGTTAAAATTAATATAAAATTGTCTAAAAGTTACGATCATTATCGGTCATTCTGACTTCGTACGATCCAACTTTTGTCGTTCGATTGTTCGTGGGTTTCACGGAGTTTCTTCGCAGCTGGAGATTCCCCCTCCAATTTCACGATTCCGGGAACTTCGTGCTGCTCTAGACTTTTCATGTAGGCTAAGAAAGTCGTCCAGATGAGGCTGCAGAAACTGACAAACACGATCCGGTTTTTCTCCTTGATCATAGTGTAGTTAAATGTCTGAATTATTGGCCAGATTGGAGCTCCCACCTGAAAAAGGGTAAAGTAACTATCAATATTTGCTTTATGAATGTAGTTTGATTACTTTAATGTTATTTACTGTGAGGGGTTAAATATTAGTCTACAAATATTTGATGGGTGACGGAAATGAATACTGACTCTTTAAGAAACGAAATGCTTAAAAATGGAGGATAGCCAGACTGGAATTTTGCCGCCGAAATGAGCTTCGTGCGGCGGCATGCGCTACTTTATCTCTCTCTCTAAGCCGATTCTTTGTCTCACTCTCTCTCTCTCACCCGGTCAGCTGACTTGGCCGCGCGCTCCCGATCTACCTAGCGGCCGCTGCGGGAACTATCCAAAATTCAAATATTCCCAGACTGAATTGTTAACAAAAGCATTGCGCTTATTGGGTCTGTATTCATTGCTAATGGTTTTGATTTTTGGATACTGAAGTAGACATCCCATCTATATGGACCAGCTGTAGTCAATTTTTTATTGAAAAACTAAAGTAATTCAATGAAGCACTCACAGAGAGCCATAGTCTAAGATTATAATTGTTGTTAACTGAGGCAGTTGATGTGACAAAAAAGAAGCCATAGCTTACAATAAGTCATCCTACGGGTAACAGTTTGATTTGGTTAAAAATTTGGCGTATTCGACAGAAATCAATATTCTACATCAGCGCACTCTGTCAGTGGCGTACTTTAACTGTGTCCGTTTTGATTAACCCTATGAGGTTGAATTTTTTTAAATTTTTCGGCGAGTATAGGTTGTCGAAAATGGTGCCCGGCGACCTATACTCGCCATTCAACCGTAAAGGGTTAAAAACTAGTGAAAATTTGACATAGGAACGGAATACCCTATCTTGTCTTATCAATAATCAAAGGTAGTAAGCTAGACACTAAAATAGTTTGTTTAACAGTGTAGGCCTACTATTATGGCTCTTGTTTTGATTCCTTTGAATCAGTCGTTGGATGATTTATGATGCCTTCTGAAAAGGACTCACACACTCTCATGCTTGTAATTTTTTTCCAAAGCCATGAAAACCAAAGGTTTGTTTAGCGCTGTTTGGTAGCTGTAGACTTATTTAATTTTATTGTTATGTTCCTTTGTGATTAGAATAATGTAGGCTAGGTAGGTTAGTTTACTTATTTTGCACACATGATTCGGAAAATATTGTTTCATGTTTGTACTAACTTCTGATGCCTTGACTTTTTTTTAGATCAGAGAAGGTTCCAGTCTCGAGGTGTTCGGACAAGAGAGAGTCAACGAATCTACAGTTATCAACTGCAAATTATACAAGAGTCAATTCTTTTAAAATATTGTTGTTATCGATTCCTATAATAAAAGGTCCTCCTAGCTACTGGGGTACGACTTCTTTGCCCCAGTACTACACTAACTTATACAAGGGTTGGAATTTATTGATTACAAAAATGTATAAAAATGTGCCAGTTATTTCTGTACCTTGTATGTTGGCAAGAACTTAGCTCTCACTTCCGCCTTAGCTTCCTCAGTATTCTTCCCTTCCATTATGCTCATGACAAAGTAGAAACTGGACATGGCAAAAGGTGTGTAGGTGAACTGTTCAACAACTCCCTGAAAAAAATATATTTTAAATTTAAAAATACTCTAGTTAAAACACACATAAACGTTTTGTTAGAGAAGTGGAAACAAATAAAGCTAAAATTAACACCTTTAAAAACTTTGATCCGACTTTGAACACAAATCAAATTGTTGGTATCTTTTTAGAAACATAATTTAATAGGTATTGTGGTTTTGCTGACTGGAATGATATCGAGTTCAGGGACGATCCTAAAATAGTAGCTAACTTAATAATACCAAAAATATTTTTCGGTATTTTATTTTTTTGCCATATTCTTGACAATGTTCACATTTAATGGACCTACTGCTCAGAATTTTTGCAAACAATGCTCTTTAAAAAATTTGAAGCAGTGATGTAGTGGGGCTGGGCACATGTGGAAACAGCGTTCCGATTCTACTTTGTTCAAAGATCCTACACAGCCAATAAATTAATACACGACCCAGGGGTTTTCCAGACAGGTGAGCGATCCTGCACTGAAAAATGAACGACTACGCTACTGCTTTCACGATAGCCTACAAAGTGTACCTAATAGGTTTTTTGATCATTTTAATTCAATACTGTAGCCTACTGAAAAGGGGTACTTCACAATCTGTTTAGATCTCTTAAGCTTAACTTACCTTTGTGATGGCATATCTTAGAGTGTTCAAAGGCCATATCGTATTTGCAATTTTTAACCAACAATATAGTGAAGGTGCAACATATAAAGATCCATACAATCCATATCTGGCTACTTTTGCTAAGTCATATTCTTCTTCGCCCTGTATAGTTTGTTGTACAATACTCCCTAAAGGCCAAATCACAGAATAAGATGCAATTCCTCTAACGATAGGGTGCTTTCTTACAAAAGCAACAGCCTTAGAAAATTTCGTCACTTGGGAACTCATAGATGACTCTGTTATTGATGTTCACAGATTTATAAACTGCACAGTAACCTAAACGCACGAACACAACACTTTTAAAACACTGGGAGTTGTTGTTGTCACTCAGGAGGAATGAGGAAAGAAAGATAGGAGAAAGACAAGGAAAGATTTAGGAGTTAGGTCATGGTTTGGGGAAATTTTAAAAATATCGTCTGCTTGCTATGACGTTTGGCGATGACGGTAGGTTGACATTGACCTGGTTCTGCTGGTTTAGAACTTGAATACAGATTATAGGAAAACTATAGTCTAAGCATTGGTCTCAAGCAATGGTTTTCAGTAGTCAGTACATATGTATATTTGTGTACATACAACCGTGAGTATACAAGTATTTTTTATTTGTTCTATTTACGGTAAATACAATTGAATTGTAACAAGGTGGGGTATAAACCATAAACAGACCAACACAAGTAGACTTCTCATCCCATTGTAAATTTTAAGCTCGTTTCTCGTGTCTAGTTCATGTTGGTGACACTGATCGCTACAGTCAACGAAATTTTGTAATTTTTTCAAAGTTAATTTCATGATTTGTGCTTTACTATTGTTTGGTTGTATAGTTAGTGGGCGAGTTACTGTTTAAGATTAGATCATTTTATTTGGAAAAAACGAGATTTGATACATAGTTTTTTCTGAAATAACCAGAAACAAATTGTAAGCAAACACGGCCTCTATAGAGCACCAGTCGGAGCTAACAATAAAATTGTCTTCAGCTGATCCATGAGGATGACAAATCTTAATCTATCAAGTGAGTTAGTTTCATCCATGTTTAAAATCCAAGATCTAGTACTTTTTAACGAGTAACGTTGATTTTTAGTTATCACATTTAACCACAATAATAGATCAAATGTTGGAATCTAAAATAATATAGCCCAAAGTCAAATGGTATCTCGGTCCAGAAACAATTTAGCGCTTGAAATCGAACGAGTGACCTCAGATTTGAAGGGGAGCATTTCAATAAATCGGCTACCCAGACAATTGTTTGAACAAAATTGGTTTGCACTATGAACATTAGAACGAAACTTATCCTTTTGTGGCTACCCTAAGACACATTAATATTTTTTATAACGGGTCAAAGTCTATTTGGTTACCGTAATTAATTGTGCGTTTAATCCTACATCCACACTATAACATATATGTGAAGTCAATTTATGTGATTTGTGTAGGTCTCAATAGAGAGTTGTACTATCTATTTATTTCCGTTCCTCGAAACATCCACTTTTTCAATGTGTTAATGTTAGATGATTATCCACAGTCAGTTTGGAGCGTGACATAAATCAACTTTCCGCGCCGCTAGTTAATTTCAACGTATGTGTGATTATTGCTTTATGATTTTTTTTATAGCCATGACACATAAGTATACAGCATATTATACAATTCATATAACGTGTTTTTATTTTACACACAATAATACATAATCTTTGGTAGTCAACAAAAACATCACCGGTTGATTAGACAGTTGCCATGGCAACCAAATCAATCAGGTTTGAATTGAATGTGTGTTTATTGATGTGTGAAGTAGTGGTTAGAAGTGATAATAATGGATTTTACAGTCAATATTTCGTAATGTAATTTAGAAATTACTTATGTCTAGCACATTTATGTTTGATTAAACATCTTTTCTATTATTCATAAAAGTTATTTGTGTTAACTTGAACTTTTATAGTTAATTTATGAGCAGTTGTAGTTGAAAGTTAGTATCCCACTACATTATTAATCTAACACTTGTTCATACAATACTTCTAGCTGTGGTTGTGTACAAGGTATATTGAAATATCAATCATAAAAAAGTGTGCCTGATGATTTCAATTTGCAATAGATATGAACATAAGAACAACATTTTAAAATTTTCTGAATGTTTAAAATTTACCCTTTCCGTACTGTTTTAAATTTTGTATGGCCTTTCACAGATAAATTACAGTAGGCCTAAGTTAAAAATGATCAGCTAGGCAAGACTTTATTCTATTTGTAATGTGTTTTCATTGATGACATAAATACTATGTTAAAAATAAGAGAGAAGAGTTGGTGTTTTAATACAGAATTGTTTTGGGGACGACTGACATGGAGGCTTGAATTAAAATCACTGGCTACCAACGGAATATAGTTGTGTTGTAATGCCAAAGTTGCTTGAAAGAGGAACAAATGTATAGCTCTTTTCATGGGCACCTGCGGGTGGGTGGATCATCGGTCAGGGCCGCCTGATAAATACTAAATTATTTTACTATGTTTTGAAAGGTTTAAAACTAAAACATATTATGGCCAAAAATGATACCATGCTTAAATGTTTGTTAAGATTGGCTGAGGTTATAACATATTATCATGTACAGTATTGGATATTGAACCATTAGTCAAAGATATTATGTTTACTCTATTTAAACCTAATTATAAATCACAATAATTATTGTAGATGTGTGTCAAAGTACAAGATGATTTTCACTTGCATAGTTATTCAGTTGGCTGTTTTAAGTTCAAATTTTGATAACATTAGTATATCCATTCTAGCTGGATACTAAACTGTTGATCTAGAATTTTTGTTTCTAGACACTAAACCAGCAGTTGAGAATGTCATTAACCTATAGTTAGTGTTTAGTTTCTGAGGGAGTAATGTTTGATTGTTTGTCAGTCGAGGATGCAATGGCCGACTTGGAGCCTTCCCCGACTGGAAGTGCAAGACTTCCTCCATTGACGTCTCAGTTCCCACAATGGAGCCGAGCCACACCTTTGGCACCTCTTGCGCCTTCTGGGAGACATGAAGCGGTACCTGGTTTCCTTCGGGTAAGATTGCATCATATGAAGATTTGTAATTTCTGTTCAATAACCCCAAACGTAATCACTGACCGTGTTTTTGACAACAAAATTGCATCAAGTCCAAGATTACTGTGTTCGTTTTTTGTACGATCTTCGGCGAGATGGTCACATCATGCACTGTTGTATAGGCCTACATTCTTTTATAACCATTTAACTTTTTAATTTTTGCTTGAGGGAGGAGCAGGGGCGGCTCCAGAGGGTAGGCCCAGGCTTACCCAAAATTTTGGTAAGTTATATATTTCAAAGTTATAAATAAATAAAGAAATTTTATTAGGCCTCCTAAGTATATGCAAATAAAGAGAAAGTATTAACTTAAACCTAATTATTTTGCATTTAAATTAAATTTTAAAATTCTCCCCTTTATGATCCACAAAACCCCTCAAACCTTTTGTCCCCGGTCAAACTCCTTTTTGATCGTTGTCAGGCCTACCCAAAAAGATATTCCTGGAGCCGCCCCTGGGGAGGACTCTTGAATTGATCAGACTAATCAGACTACTCACTAAAGAACTACCTTTACTCTGTTTGACACAGACCTGGGATTGTTTGTAACATTAATTCAAGATTGACACTTGACCTAAGCCCTCAGGGCTCACGATGTTTCTGGCATTCAATTCTTTTATGACCTAGAGGGCATTAGGTCAAGGATGAGCTTCTTGGCATGAAGAATACCCTGAACGAACAGCGACACAGGTCTAATTTTCATAATCGAGATGACCGTGTCCACCATCAACAGTCCTACATGCTATTGAGCTTCCAGGCTCCTTTCCAAACACGGACAGCAGAAAAAGTGTGTTACGTTGTGAAGAGTACCCGGGCAGTAAATGCAATCGTGTGACACGGCTTTACCAATCCTGAAAATGTATGACCAAAAATAGAGGTGCTTAATAATTCACCTCGCCGTAACTCTGATTAATATAAGGTTGGATTTACTGAATAAGTCGTCTGGTCCAGCTTCCCCGTGTCTCTTGTTGCCAGCTCTCCGGCCAGAGCGGGTAGACTCCTCTGTTCTTGCCTGGTCCTCCCTACGCCGCTTAAATCCTAACGCTATTTAAACAGAAGTACATCCGACATGATTAACAAAATATTTTAGTAAAAATTCAATCAGACAAATTCAAATTTGCTTAGTCGGTTTGCTGCAGCAGGGGTAAAGCCCCCCTAGGGGTATTAGATGTAAAGCTCTCAGCAGTGTGGAAGATGTTGAGTCAAGTTAATTTTTGGAACATTTTAGTTTGTTTTACTTGTTCACTCAGTCTTTCATTATTAGTGAGAATTCCCTTTTCTGTCTTCTTGAATGCAAATAATGAATAGTAATTCACTAAATTCCCAACAGTAAACCATTTTGGGGCAGGATAGTGGTTTGTGAGCGAGCACGGAAAACTACTATCGAGCCCTGATTTCATGAGCAGGGAACGATTTTAGCAAATAATCACATAAAACTTAAATAATAAAATATCTTTCCACAATTTAGTAAATTTTCTTTATAGGTGTCGTAGCATAGTTCAACAATTTATTTAAATGTCAGCTAGTGGAATATACACATTAAGCGCTTTTGTTAATCCAAACAAGATCTTTGTTTGTTTGGTGAAGGCAAAAGTTTGTTTGGGAAAGGTAAAGTTTTGTTTGTGCTAAGGAAAAGTGATAAGGACAAACAAAATCATATGTTTTGATGGATTGGAAATTGCTGAGCTATTTTCATGTATTTCGTTTACCAATGAATATTATCAAAAAGAATATTGCATTAATATGTCATAAACTTGCTAGTGCCATGAAATCTAGAGGCTGTTTTTCTGGAATGTTGCGAAATTTAAGACAGAAAACCTTGAGCTAACTTATGATTATTAAGAGAAGTTTAAAAAATACATGGTTTGATAGTTGAAATCTACAGAAATACGCTTTTGAGGAATATCAGCAATAAACAAGCCTGTTAAAACTATATTTTGGCCATGAAACTGCGTATGAGTTCTATACAGTAAAATAGAGTTTTAACAGATAAGTTACTCATTCTTTTATTAAAATAACCAAGAGCTGTCTTTTTACCAAAATAAGATTTAGGATAATAAATTAAAGTGTTTAAAACAAAGCAAACAATTTATTGCTTAAAAATAAATAATACTATATCCAACAAATATCACACATTTTGTATCACCTATCTTTCAAACAGGAGATCAAAATTTGACTAAAGTTTCATTTCAAACAAGTGCAATATACTTTCTATTGCTTGGTTTTTAAGTAGTTCAAGAGAGGCACAACCATGGAGATCCATACAGTTAAGTAGCCTAACTATTTTACTTTAGGTAAATATTAATTCATAAAGTTAATATGAAAATTGTTTGTCGATAAAATATAACTATAAGCGTAGGTCCTAAAGCTAGAACTCTTTTA